ATGTTTGATTAACAAGGTGAGAATGCCTTTTTTGAAGGTGATTATTGTTGAGGGTAGCACGGAGCTGTTGAATTTAGCGGAGAGCTTCCAACCACGGGTACGTTACGTATTTAAATAGATATACTAGAATTTTGGGGGCGATAATCCAGGAACATAGTTAGGGAAGTGTCACTGCAGAAGTCGGAAGCCGAATTGTAGGAGCATTATGTAGAAGGAAATACCGATAGTCAAGAGTGAAGCTCAAGTAAGGGCATATGGTCAACTCTTTATCCAAAATGGTCGAAGACCAATCGGCTAGGACCAACTAGGCGTTCTCCCTCAGTGGCTGGTAACTAATTCAACGTTTGTGTGGTGGGATGAAAACATTGGCTTTTACATCGGCTGGTCTCGCAAGTCAAGTTTGTGGTCAAGGTCAAGGTTCAGAAAGCTCAACAAAGCGCCCTACTTCCAAATATAGAACAGCTTGAAGATGCTCCTTCGATCAGTTACCAGTAACGACAAAGTTTTATTCTGCTGCCGCTTAGCTGACAAGGAGAAATGACGTTTTTCTCCTTGACCCCACTCCCCGCTCCGATGAGGAATCCCACTCATCCTGCGCCTGTTCACAGCGACATTCCGATTCTGAGTAGGAATGCTTCGTCGCGCTTCTTTAGAAAGGGACTAGTCAAGGTTGAATTTTGATCTCTTACTCCCTTTGTAAGAGAATTATAAACCTCAGTGAGCATTCACAAAAGGTCTATGAGAGCGTTAATGCAAACTCACTGGAGCAGGGCAACTTTGTACTGGTGGGCAGGTCGGAAGAGGTGGACAGACTGGTTGTGGAGGGCAAGTATTGCAGCCGCAACCTGAGTTGGAATCAGGAAATAGGAAACCGGATGTCAACCTGACCAAGGTGAACGCTACGGCGACGAACTTCATCTGGAAAACAGTTGTATGTAATACAGTAATATTGCTAATTTAACGGTTACAACCTTGGGGTCTGTTTTTTTCATTCTGAAAAGCTCTTGTTTGTGGTCCGCACTCAACGAAGAGTCTTGCCCCTCACCTTAACACCGCTAAATGAATTAGACCTGTCTGTCTCTCCTACAATGTCTCAAAACACTTTTCAACCTGCCTGTCGTTTTCTAGTAATCTAGTAAGCAATTAACCAAGCCGGATGATGGTCTTTATGGGCCCAAGTGAGGGTTGGTCGGGAGCTTGATGTTTGGAGATTGCATGCGGTGAATGGTGTCACTTGCCTTCGGAGAAACCCCCTCCCCCATAGAATTTCGAGAAACACCCTACCGGCATTAGATTGGAATAATAATATGTGTAAAAAGACGAAGATGCGTTTAAGAACTACTGTAGTTAACGGAACGAATGGGCCAGTAAAGTCCATCCCTTCGCGCTTGGTTAATTGTTACGGGACCCATAGGACAAAACTGGGGGCAAAGCTACATATATCCATCGGTTCCCGCAAGAGCCTCGTGTAAGTCGTTTCTAAAAACCTTTAGTAAAGGACTGGAAGTAGAATGTGTGGCACATCCTGAGAAGGAATTGGTCATCGCCAAATGCGTAATCCCATCTTTTTGAATCCCCAACCAGAAATGATTGAAAAAAGGAAGTTAAATTGTGCAAAAACCATTTATTATCTACAAAATGTACACAGTGTCAGAAATTTGCTAGAACACGAGCTGTAACAAAATCTAAAATAAGTAAACATATCACGCATTTTCAAAACAACTGTATGAGGGCGTAACAGACGGTATTTGAAAAGAGAGTGACAAAACTAGTCAATGATAACAGGGAAACGTAAGAAGTCTAATGGAATGAAAAAGTGTTCAGGCGGGGAGCCAAACCATTCAAGTCACTCCTACACATTGTGCCTGTAAGGAGGTTAATCGTCAGATTAGTGCGAATCTTGCCCTCCTTAGCGCACTAACAAAGAGGAAAGAAAGTGATCGCGACCACATATGGTACGCCAGTTCTCTCACCCGAATCAGGGCACACCATCATTGTTAATCGCCCAGCGAGGACTGAATTTGACTCCTAGTGCATGTAAAAGGCCACCTCCCGCAAAATGGTTAGTAGTGGTTAGCAAGTACTAATGACGAAGTATTAATCAATTCAGCAGTGAAGGAGAGAGGGAAAAAGGAGGAAAACCGAAGAATTAGAATTAGAAAATAAAAAAATTAGAATAATTAGAAAATGCCCCATGTAGTACTTTATGCCAAAATGAGCCATCGACCTTGAACGAGCTCTCACTTCCTCGAGTCTCTCTATGATGGTGTCAAAATGATATCGCCTTTTTTCCCTTCTCGTTTCCTTTTCACCAGGAATGAAAAAAGCTAGGAGAGACAACATCGCCGCGACTGATACAACACCGACGATATGATTCAATGTTAAATCGAAAAACAACGTTGAATCATATCGTCATACATAATGTATGGGGCGTGGGCGGGGCATTGCCTTTGCCATGTGAACGTAGCGCCCTTATCCCGTCATCTTTTTTGAGGCTGTGGACTACCAGTTTATCTCAGAAAGGTGTGTGCACACCAAAAGAACGCAAAACGTGCCTCCATAGGGATACAACTTGAAGAAAAGTCGACCAATTTCACATGACGAATCAAGACAGTACCGCAACAGGTTGTCCTTGGATAAGGAATGATAACGAAAGAAAATTCCGTCTCAGTCATGGAAGGGTAGGTTTTCGATACAAGTAAACAGTCACGTCGCTAGTAGGCATCACCTATCGTATCTCTTGTAAATCTCAGCCATTTCAGATTTTGACCATTTACCATTCGTTTGCACGCGTTTGAAATGCCGAGCTGTGCCATGAGAAATACTCGACGGAATGATCATAGTACAAGTTTTGGAACGCGTATTGCGACCTGAACGACATTTAGCCATATTGTCGATAATGGTTTTGTTGTTGTTAGATTAGAGAGATGCTGTGATAAATCTATCAGTCCGTAACGCTGCAATATTTGATCATTTAAGGAACAAAAAATATAAAGAAATGTAAAAACATTCTCCGCATTGGCAAAAGTATCGAGGAGCGTGTTCCCACAAAAGGTTGATACTGCATTCTGAGATGTTTAGTTTCGTGATGGTGAACGAATCCCGGTACCAGGAGGACGACCTAGCGAATCTGAACCTCCGTTGCCTTTGGCGAATTTTTCTCGAAGAAATAGGCACAAAAACTGCCGAAAATAACTGACAGTGTCGTATACTACTCGCTACTCAAATAGCGGACCAATGCTCTTTATTTGCAACGGACTTTATATGCTAAAATGGTGGAATTGTTGGCCTCTGAAGACGACGATTCACTTGAAACCTCGCAATGCATTATTAAATAAAATGTTCAACTCACGAAGGGTCGTGATGCACACGGTCAATAAAGTAAACATTACTTGCACCTATAGAACTATATTATTATGTCGAGGCTGCAAAAGAGGGGAAGCTTGCAGAACTCACAAAGCTATTTTTTTTCGGGCTTCAGGGAGAACCCAGAACATGATGTCCAGTAGAGATCAGCTGCACACGTTTCAGTGAAGCTGGAATTCTAGCTTTTCAGATCTCTCAACTTCGAACCATCCTACTATATATAATCCGCTAAGTTAGGCTGTTGGTGTGTTTGTGTACGTGGTTGACCGGAAATTCATAACTTTCTTCAAAAATAAGCGATGAAGCGCTCACTTTATAAGTAAGGGTCGTAGGGGGGTCGGGCAGAACACCATTGGTGGGTGGCAGGAAGTGATAACAGTTGATAAGATACCATAAGGGGCCTTATAAAGGCAAAGTCAGCAAATTCATAACGCGCGTCACAGCAAAGCTAGAGCGTTGGCTCCAAGAAGTAATATAGGAGGAAACATTATTGGTGGGTGGCAGGACGTGATAACAGCTGATAAGATACCATAAAGAGCCTTAGAAGGGAAGGGTCACCAACTTCGTAGCGCGGGTCATAGCAGCGGCGGAACGTTGGTTCCAAGAAGGAGGACAGGATGTGAATTATTGTGTGGGTGGCGGACGATGGATAATAGCTATGAAGATACGTATATTCTTAGTAAGGGATTCACAATTTCATAGACTCGTTCAGAGAAACTGTAGAGGGTTGGTTCCAAAAAAGTGAGGGGGGGGACAGGATGGGAACATTGTTGGTGGGTGGCAGGAATTGATAACAGCTGATAACATATCATAAAGCCCTAGAAAGGGACTAAATTCAAGTGCGCCGCAGCGACGGTAGTACGTTGACTGCAAGCGGTGAAATAGGAGGTAGGGGTGGAAGGTGGGGTCAGAGGGAAGTTCCACAATATTGAGACTTGGTCAATACTTTAGTCAGCTAAATGTTTCTATTCCTCAGCGATGATCGAAACCGATTTCCACCGCTAAACGCTCGAGTTTCACCCAAAAGTAAAAGCCTAAAGATGTTTTCCAGTGAGGAATGATAAGAACCACCAGCAAACGGATACGTGAAAGCTGCTCAACGGAAGCGCTAGGATATGAGGAGCTTTCACTAAGATCCCGATTACCGAAATTCTTTCAACCGCTAAGCTTTTCTACTTCCAACAAATGTTGGGTGTTTTTATAAATGTGATAAGCACTAGACATTGGCAAATGCTTATCAAAGGTGAAATATGATGAAATGGGCCGCCGTTTGAAACATGGGAATTAGGCCACGTGTTAGTCTGCACGAAAATCCTGTCAGTGATCAATACCATAGGTTTGATCATGCGCGCAGTAGTGCGCGTCAGCCAAACTGGTTCAGTATAAGATGTGGTCAGCAAGGAGTCCAACAGGCCAAACTCCGCTGAATGAGAATGTGTAGTACCTAATCGGTCTATAACTTCCGATAGCCTTTGACGCTTTTTGGCTAGTTCATCTTAGACCCTAATGATTATTTTACTCCTTTACGGTAGTGTACACTACCAATACCTACAACATATCACTAACGCAGCGGAAATTGTACATTGCCTTCCCTTCTCCTTTGGAATTCAAGAGACTTCTGACTGAAGAAAGATCGGATGTCGGACTCAAGATCATGTGAGGTAGCGTTCTCTTCAGAGAAAGGGCAAGGGAGCGGAATAGGCCATATTCTGTCGCAGCCTAGTCATAGTGAGAGTGGAGGAATCATCCGTTCTGGACCCTACAATTCTTCCCGGATCTCTTCCTGAAAAGTAGGCAGTGGAGATTAGCTAGAAAAGAAGAGTGGGGGAAAAAAGGTGAGTCCCTTTCTCCTGGAGTACGATCCAGTGCACACGTTGTGTGAAGCCCATCCTAGTGCTCCCTGGCGGAGCGCTTACACGGCCACGGGCCACGGGGTGGTAAGGCGCTAAGCCGGCCTGCGCCACTTATCGCTTATCGCTAACGTCCGATGATGGCTAGATGATGATGGCCAATCCACAAAGGCAGGACGTTAGTGTAAGGGATCAACTCAACATCACCGCAATGGTTGTGAGTATGAGTGCGTATGTGCTGTACTTGTGAGTATTAACGCATATATGCAATGAGCCACTGTGACAGGATTAGGGGCAACGGAGAGGCCGATTACGGTATTACTAGGGTTTTTGAGTCTGTGTTGCCTATAATGTGTTATGGTGGTCCTTTGTTCAGGCGGTGAGGGAAGGCCTGAGACCAACCACCCAGTGGATCCTTCTGGCTACCCCGCCCATACTACCTGGGGTGGGTTGAGAACTGGAAGAACTCTAGGGAAGCCGAAACCAGTACGGCCCCACGAGAAGGACCCAGAGGACTGGTAGCTCCCGGAAAGTAGCTTACGAAGGCTTTCAAAGATGCATCATATCGAAGGGAATCGAAATGCAACTGCTTCGCAAACTGCAGCACATTCTAGTGCACAGCTGGAACTCGAGAGCGCAATGCATTTTTCAGGGAGGAACTTGTTTCTGCAAAAATTACTACCTTTCGAGGGATCTCATACTTCAGCTTGCCAAAATTTCGCTGACGTGAATCATAAAGATGATGCTGCGAATCATTATCCCTACGAACGGCAGGGTATGCGAAGGAACAAAAGTTGGAACGTAACCCAGGGCAGCTTTTTCCACGAACTGTTCTGTCCCAAAATGGCATCACCTGGTGAAAACGCCGCCCTATCCATTCCAACTCCCCCCACCCAACACCCTCTAAAGTGCAATGATAATGACTGCACTTACAAACTGACATAGATGTACATTCCGCGATAATAATTGGATCTCGCATTAGGGAAAGACCCCACATAGAGTGTAGAGCAGGCTTGTCCATTTGACTCCTCTAGCGCTGCTAGCTCTCGCATCTGTTTGCTAGTTTGCATGCTCCCTCGCTGTTCTTGTTCGGTGTTTGGCACCAATCACCCTGCAGTCTTCACCTCCGTTCGGAGTGAGGAGAGACCTCACTTGAAGGTTTCTCAGCTTTTGTTCATGACGCAAGCCATAACTTTTTATCCCCCAGTCTACGAGCCTTGCAGCACTTTATCGCAAAATCTTTCTCTGAACGCTATATCTCTTATCTAATAACTAACCGTGGATAAGTGTATTTATATTTGGTTCCATCCCCTCCCGTGCCTCCTACCCAGGACTCGTTCTGCGTGCTGTACATCCAGAAGGCTCCATCCATGGATCTCACCATCCAATGGACTACCGTCAATACAAAACTGTCATCTGGCTGAAACATTACAGGATCATCGTAGTCGCAGATTGAGACCAAATAGATTGCCTGAAAATAGAAAAATTGGACAGCAGTTTTTGTGGTAGAGAGAGCACTCACGCTCGATCTCATGATTATCACAATTTGACTCGCGTCGATTTGATGCCAGTCAAGGGGTAGCATCCTGTTAGATTCGGTCGTTCTTTCGATCGTTCTGCATTTCAAAATTGTCACTTATTGAAATTTTACCTATTCCTCATAGCGGCACACTGGGACTAACAAAGCTGCAATCAAATTCGCGCGACCCACGCCACTGTCTGGAATATAAGGAGCCCCAGAACAAACACTGCTTAATGGCCAGCACAACTATTAGGTTGTGCATAAGTTCTTATACACGGACTTTTGTCAATATCTCAAAAACGAAACGGCCTGGAGATAGACGATATGCCCGCTCACCATGCACTACTACGACGCCAAGGCTCAGAGCAGTTGCGATCCATCCTTCCAGAACGACGGAGGCTGGGACTTGAAGAAGTCGTCGAGCGCCTGACCTGATCCTTTGTTTCGAACTTTTTCCGTCCAGATAGCGCTGCAGGTGGCTGAACAGCCAGTAGTCAGAAGGAGCGAGGTCAGGGCTGTAGGGAGGGTGGGCGACCATCAGCCATCCGTACTTCTCCAGCTCGGCCTGGGTCGCCTTTGCAGTGAGGTCGGGCGTTGTCATGGTG